CCAGGGTGCATTGTGTATTTTTGGGTCTCACCAAGACACTCGGTTTTAAATTGGGGGGGGGCAGGAGGCAACCTGCTATTTTACCTAAGTGGTTCTGAACCTTCTCTCCTGGACTTGATCTCTAATTGTATTCTTTTACCTATTAAAGCCTGTCTTTCCAACCTATCCACAAATACTGGTCTAGTTGCCCCTATTACTCTCTGGTTCCCTGTCACATAGAGCATTAGAGCATTGTTTTCTCATATTTGATTTTCAGTCCATATACCCTTTTTCAGGTTAATTATATTTCCTATAAAGAGCATCTTGGTGGACTCTACCTCCTGATCTACTCTACCTGTGATTCTTTTATGTTAATTTAGTGTATCAAGGCCATCTATATTAGAGATTATAACCAATCTTCTCTGACTCATTTCTGTTATGCTCTTTTTTTGCCATTAGTTATCTGCTTATCTTCTTCTGCTTTCTGCTCTATTCATTGAGGCCTCTCTGCCACTGTTCCTGGAATCCTGGTACTTTTCTCCCTCTCTAGGATGCCCTGCAGTATTCTCTATAGAGTTGCATTGGTGGTCATGAATTTCCCCAGTTCCTCTTTGTCTTGGAAGGATCTTGCTTCTCCATTAATTTCTAGAGACAGTTTTTCAGGGTTTGTCAATCTGGGCTGGAGGTTATTTTCTTTCAGGACTTGGAATATTTCAATCCAAGCTCTTCTTGACTTGATGGTTTGTGTTGAGAAGTCTGATGTTATTCTGATGGGCCTTCGTTTATAGGTGATCTGTTTCTGGTCTCTAACAGGTTTTAATATTCTGTTCTTATATTGAATTTCTGGGATCTTGATTATTATATGCCTGGGTGTGGCTCTGTTTTGGTTGTACATGTCTGGAGTTCTGTATGCCTCATACATCTGAATATCATTTCCTTCTTCTATGTTTGGGCAGTTTTCCATAATTATTTCTGTGAATAGCCTTTGCAGTTCCTTTGTACCCCTGCTTCTTCATTCACATTCTTTATTCTCAACTTATAGATCCTCTTGTCATCTTATAGCATTTGTATTGTTACTGCTTGTTTCCTAGTTATTTTAAAAAAGTTTTTCCTTTCATAATTCCATATTGCAAACTTGTCCTCCAGTTTGGATAATCTATCCTTAGTTTCTTTCAAGCAGTTTTGCCAGCTTTCAATGAAGTTTTTAATTTCCTGGTTTTTAATCTATTTGAATCTGCTTCTTGAATTCTATTTTTTTATGTTCTTCAACAAATGGTTCTCTCCTTTGTTTGTGTTCCTGCATTCTTCTGTTTGTGTCTTCTTGAGTGCTTAGAATTTCTTTTATTAATCTATTTATATCTTGCTTTACTTGGTTAATTATTTCAGTTTTGAACTCATCTATGAGGTCCCAAAGATATCTCTTTATGTCCACTGATGCCGTGGCTGATATTGCATGTTTGCTGTCCTCAATCTCTTTTGTATTTACCTTTCCTGGATCAATGGTCTCAGGGTTGGGGGCTAAGGGCTTTTTATCATTGCTTCTGTTTCTCATATTTTTTTTTCCACCATACAGGCATATAACAGAGGCCCCAGTTCCCTTGTTTGTTGTTGTTGGTGATTCTGGTTCTTCTGAAGCACACTGGCTAGGTGACCCTGCCTACTGTGGTGTGCTATTGAGGTGTAAATATGGTGGGTGTATGTTGTCCCCTCCTCTGGGTCAACCAGCCCGCCAAGGCCTTCACCTTACCTTAGTGTGTGCAGCCTGCAGGGAATTGGTCTGGGATACCCTACTGGTTCCCAGCTAGGGCTGTGACCAAGGCCAAGCACATCTGACCAATCCCATCTGGGAAAGGAACAACTGACTGAAGTCTCTGTAGTACCTTGTTTCTGCCAGTCCTGCCCAGTTCCAAGATGCTGTTCCCTTTCCTGTGGGAAGTTTTCATTCCCGACACTCACTGCAGGTCAATGCAGGTCCCCTATCGGCTCCGCTTTCTGTTGATCTCACTGATCCGCAACCTCAGTGCACCTGCACCCCAGTGCAATCGTGGCTCCAGTGAGTCAAAGCAGCATGAACCCAGGCAGTTCACTAATCAAAGCCGCGTGAGTTCGGGCATGCCAGCCAGTGCAGTTCTCTGGCTTGCTGCTCTCTTCTGCCCTTACATCTCCCCACCAAGGCCTTCAGGCTTGCCCACCATCAGCTTCGCTGTGCCCATGCATCTCCGAGTTCCATCGTGTTCCTGGCACACTGAGACTGGCTCTGGTGAGAGCGCCATCAGCTACCACCTTCTTCTGTGCAAGTTTTTCTTTTAAAAATTTCTTTCTGTGGGCTTCAATTCTCACTTTAGTTTCTTCCTTGGTCAAGGGGATCTATGTCTTTCCTGCTTGTCCTTTTCGTGAATGCTATATTCCAGCATCTGAGCTGTTTCTCTCAGAGAGGCTTTTTACTTTGCTGTTTACTATTCCACCATTTTCACAGACTCCCCTAATCTATTTCTATGAATTCACATTTTTTATAAAACCCAAATAAACAAGATCATGCCTTGTTTGTTCTTGTAAATCTGGCTCATTTCATTTAACATAGTGTTCTTAACTTCCATTGTTGCAAATGGCAGAATTTTCTTCATATTAAGGCCAAACAGTATTCCATTGTGTATATATATATATGTATATATGTGTATATATATATACACATATATATATATGTATGTGTATGTGTATATATATATATACACATATATATACACATATATATACACATATATATATGTATATATATGTATATATATGTATATATGTATATATGTGTATATATATATATATATATATATATATATATGCCACATTTGCTTTATCCATTACTCCATATGGTTGATTATCTGACTTACATTCTCCAAGAACTAAACTCATTTGTAAGTTGAGGACTAACTGTATATACCTAGTAGTAGGATTGGTGTGTCACGTGGTAGTTCTATTTTAGTTTTTTGCCAGCATTGGAGATTGAACTCATGCCCTCACACTAACCTACATCCTCAACCCTCCTTCTCTTTTATCATTCTGACACAGAGACTCTGAGTTGCTTCAAGGGCTAGTCTGAACTTAAAGCTGTGACCCACCTGCTTCAGCCTTCCAGAGTGCTATGATTATAGGCATATGCCATGATGCCTGAATTTTTTAAAGAAGGGTCTCACTAATTTGTCTGGATGGATTTGAATTTGCTACTCTCCCATCTCAGACTGCCAGAGTGCTGTGATTGTAGGTGTACCATCATGCTTGGCTTTATTTTTAATTTTTTGAGAAACTAAGATGAAACAAGAAAATTTCTAAAATGAAATGAGAATGATTAAATAAAATACTTCAAGTGTTCAAGTGATTTTTCATCCTTACTAGTAAGTTTTACCATGTCCAAAAGGAATTAAAGTCAGATAGTCAGGCAAGTATTTTTTATAGTGATCCAGGTATGTGTGCGTGCGCACATGTTATGAGCCTTGAACACCCTGCTGCTTTGATGTGAAAGGGCTGGATTTCTGAACTCTCATCTATCCTTTCACTGAGGAAAGCAGTCCTCTACCTTTGATTCAATTTGTAGTGGTCAAGTCTCTTAGAGAAAGGCTTGAGTAAGTACACTACCTTTTCTGTTTCATCAGCACAAAATCAAAATTCAGTTGACTCAGTGACAAGAGGGAGATTTACAGAACAGATGTTCTGCATGTATGTGAAGATCAACTTGTGAATTTTGAATGTTTTATTTTGGGATCATTGTAACTCTGCACACAGTTATAAGAGATGATACAATGGGGTCACATGTACCCATTACTTTATTCCCCAGTGGTAACATGCTGAAAAGCTGTAGTATGATATCACCAGTAAGATACTGACATTGATATGATCTATCAACTTTATTCAGATTTCCAAATTTTACTGGTACTTATTTGTCAGTGTGTTCACAGATTTGTGTGTATGTTTAGTTTTTTGTAATTTTGTGGTACGTGTACAATCAAAATACAGGGCAGCTCCATCACCACACATAACTCTCTGGTTGATCTGCTTATCCACAACCATCTGCCTCCCGCTGCCCACATCCCTAACCCCTGACAACCACTAACCTGTTCCACATCTCTACAATTTTGTCATTTGAAGAATGTTACATAAATGGTGCCCTCTGGGACTTGTTTTCTTCACTAAGAATAATTCTCTAGAGATTCATCCAAGTTGTTGCATGTACCGATAGTCTTTTGCTTTTAATTTCTGCTTAGTAGTTCATGGTATTGATGTACTATAGTCTGTTTAACCATTGACATGTTAAAGGATATTTAGGTTGGTTGTAGTATTTTTTCTATTACAAATAAAGATGATATGAATATTATATTCGTATCCAAATTTTATGTGAACTTTTTATTTTTCTAGAGTTAATGCTCAAGTATAAATTTTGAGCTTTTTAGTAGCTGCATGCTTAGTCATACAAGAAACTGTTTGCACATTTTACATCCCCACAAACATGTTCGAGTGAACCTTTTCTCCATGTGAATTTTGATACAAATTATCAATATTGCCTTCAGTGACTTGTGGCTGGAAGCCAATTGTGAATCATATATGACTCTCTGTTTTTCCCTTCTTGGTCACTTAGGAAAGCTTTTAGACATCAAACAAGGAGAAATGACTTCTGGGATATTTTCAGTGGCATCATTATTTCTGCCTTGTGCTCTGTAATATATCTTGGTCAGTCCTCAATGTATCGTAGACACTCGATATCAACTGATAGGCAAAATAGGTGTTGTAGATCGCCTTTCAAATTCATTTTCCTTTCATGTTGAAAGTTATGTGCAGAGATGCCTTATAGAGCTTTCCCCATTTTCTTTTTCTCATGTCCAAGTCATCTCAAACCAGTAAGAAATAACATAGTCAAGTGGGAATGGGTCATCACATTTAAGCCACCAAATAAATATTGCACATTCAAACATGGGTTGTAAAATGCTAAGCCAGACATACTTACATTTGCTTTTCATCTGTTTCTGATTGGCCAGGTGGAGTTTGCTCCTGATACTGGCCTTCAGTACAAAGGAGAGCTGACTGTTGTTTTACGATACATTCCCCCGGAGGAAAATGTCATTCTTCCACTAGGACAACTTCAAGGTAGAGTAATACTCCAGGACATGAACATCGATACTCTATTTCTATCAGTATAGGAGTACTTATTAAGCATTGGTTGGAATAGATATCACTTTTGCACTAAAAAGATGGAATTTAAAGAATACATGTCACTGCCTTTTGAGGAGAGTTTAAAAATATATGCTACATTGATCGAAGGGTATGGGATACATACAAGGAAAAGAAGACAAAAGTTCATATCTTAGAAATCAGCCTTTCTGTTAATATTTGTTTCATGTCAATCTTAGAGATATAAGATCTTCCACTTGGTGGGAGATCTCCTGAGAGGGTTGGAGGAAGCTGCTGTGTAGGTTTATGTCATTCATAGCTACTCAAGGAGTCTTAAGGAAAAAGCTGATGCAGAATACAGAATTCAAAGGAAAAATTAAAATGGAATCAACCTGTAAATATTTCTTGCCCTTCCTCTTCCATCAACTCTTCCAGGTAGCCTCCTTTATCCCCCCCCCATCATGATTGTTGTCTTTGGTGTGCAAGTAATGTATTGTTACCTAGCCTCAGTTTCCTCACTCCAAAAAGTTGCTGTGGGGATTAAATAGGTTTATACATGTAAGATCCCTAAAAAGTACAAAGTAAAGGTGGTGGTTGTTATGTCTGTTGGTCATATTTCACTAGAATAACAGGATGGGGCAGAAAACAGTTTTCTGACACTTGCAGTACTCACCCTGTCTGAAGCTGGCAATTTACAAGATGGAGTTGTGGAATGTTCTCTTTGGAGTTAGTTCAAAATATCAAGGAGGAAACTTATGGAATTTTCTGTTTTGGAGTTTTGACAGGTTGTTTCTGGCTTTCATCATAACTATTTCTGCCTAAGAACAGGCATGGTGGCCCAAGGAGCTTTCAGGATCTTTTCCCTGACATTCCTTTAGACCCTGTGAAAGACTATTTTATAGGGGAGTGGTTGGAGCTTTAAGCTTATTTGCCCATTTATGTCAACAAACACACATGAAAAAGCTATCCAGAAGGAAATCAATAAGGATAAAAACAGTTAATGAATATGAAATATAAAACAATGTAAAGATCTGATTCAACCAGCAAATGAAGTATATCTTTACAGATGTGCTTGGTAAAGTTTAAAATAGAAATTATGGTATATTCTCTCTCTCTCTCTCTCTCTCTCTCTCTCTCTCTCTCTCTCTTTCTCTCTCTCTCTCTCTCTTTCTCTCTTTCATTTTGGTGGCTGATACAGGGAAAAAATCCTCCAAAAAGGGAAAGAAAAAGGAGTCCCCTGTAATCTCCGGAGGAATACTGGAAGTCTTTATCAAAGAAGCAAAGAATTTGACAGCAGTGAAGTCAGGAGGCACTTCTGACAGCTTTGTGAAGGGGTAATTTTATTTTATTTCATTTCAGATAATACTTATTGGGAGATGAAAGAATCTGTGATCCACGAGAGAGCAGTGGCTGTGAGGCCCCCTTGTTCAGCTTATTGGAAAAATACTGGGAAAGAGTTACCCTTAAGTGATGACTCTTACATTTCAGACAATGCCTGTGTGGAAGAAACTGTTTATTCTTGCTTATGTTACATTTCTAGCATACTCTGGGAGTGCCTATCACTCTCACCCTCAAGGCACCAGATTTTCCTGTGAGACTCATGTCTCAAAGGAGGAGAAAGTATGGTTTTTTACACATAATGTACTTTGTACTTTCAGTATGTTCTGTTATCACATGGTTCTGCCAATATGGAAAGGCAAACAAAATATTAGATACTTGCAGTTTCACTCTCTTGAGCGAAACTAAACACAGTAAAGAAATCAGAATATTGGCCTTGAAGATATTCACTACAGAATGCTTTCGGGCTGATCCAGGACTGCCTTCTGGGTATGTTCCCACGTTGTAGAAGCACAGGCATCTTCTTGAGGGACTACAGCCCTTGAAAGAGATAATCATACTCATTTAAGGCAACTCAAAAGTCCAATTCCTCTTGATTGCTGACTATTGGAGATTTTTCTCCTGTAATTAGGGACACTTAGAGTGGACAAATGTTTTTTTCATTCATTCAAACAAACAGACAAATTCATACATAGCAATCATCCGATGTTTCATTTTCCAAACTAAATAAGGCATAATACTGGAGCTCACAAGACCTATAGGATATGTAAGATAAAGCAAGTCCCCATGATGCTAAGCCAGGAAGTGAATTTTTGAGTCAATTTATTACCAAGGTTTGGGGTGCTGAAGTCTGCTTCTGGATGTAGATTCTCTCTGTTTTGAACAAGAAATTGGTCAAGCAAGCACAAAAGGTAGTGAGGTTTTACGCTTATTAGAGGTAAGAGAAGAAGCATGTCCTACACAGTAAGTTTGTGCCAAGTAAAAGTAAGAAAAAAGGTACACACTACAGAATGAGAATATACTACTATGAAAGAACACAGTAACCCAGACCTCAATAGGAACTTTTAGTATCTTCCACTCCTGAGGCTGATGTCATGTCTAGGTCTTCCTATGCCAAAATGCTTGAGCTTTCAAGAGAAGTCCAGGACTTTGGGAACTGTTCTGTGCATGTGTCCTGGAACTTTGCAACTAATAGTCACACTCACTTTCTAAGTCAGCCTGACACATCTTAATCTCCTTCTAAAATATAGTTATTTCCTTTCTGCAAGCCATGTTACAAAAGTGTGTTTTCTTACAAGAAAACAAGCTATATCTGTAGTCTCAAATACTTTAATTTTGGTAAGTCTGACAGAGACAAGCACCTATCTATGGCAAGCACAATGGTAAATGTATGTTCTTGAATTCGGATCCATCCTGTCTTCAAATTTTTTATGGTAGACTTTATAAGAGAAGAAATGTTTTCTTTGGACTTTATTATGGCTATGTGCCTCAGCAGTCATGCATTCCAGTTCAGGCTTCTGTCATTCGCTACCATGTGGATAAGATGATGGCTTCTGGCCTGTGACTTAATTGTGGTCTTTAAAAGGGTGACTTGTATATTCTGAAACTGTTTTCTCTTTTTCTTGTTGAGAATTTATGAAGCACAAATAATAAAGACAGTATCTTTGTCCTACTAAAAAAGTCTAACTTTCCAATAAATACTCTCTTTACTTATAATTAAATATTAAGCTGATTTTAAAACACCTGAGATTTTTTAAAGGATTGGGAGCAAAAGAAAGGACATGTATGTCAAGTTTAATATAAAATAAATGAAATACATAATTATATAACTTCCTAATAGCATCATCCCTGTCTATAAGCTAAAGTAACAGTGGTTTCAGGAGACTAAAATTTTCATTGTTTTACTCCAGATTGAATCCAGAGCTTCCACATTGTTCTGTATTTTCAAATCTTGTTTTCTATTTTTATTTTGAGATAGGATCATGCTAACTAGCCCAAGCTGGGCTTGAACTTAAGATCCTCCTTTTTTAACCTCCCACTTTTTTCTTTCTCTTATATGTGACAAAGACAAGTTACAGAAGCATCATGATGATCAGAAACAAAGGTTTTCTCTATCTCATTATGGTATCTACCTAATGGGTCAGGATAGCTGCTCAGATTTCGGCTATTCTACCCAAATTCCAACTGGAAAGGGTACTTTTGCATAAATTTTATACAGAACTACTTCAACCCCATTTATTACAACTTAGTCAATTCTACTAGTTGTCTGGAAGGCTAATACCTGATGCTTGGTATGTATGCAATACTAGCAGTTTATTCTGAGCAACCTTGTGCCCATGTTTTAAAAATAGGGAGCTTGTAATGAGAAAAATAAGCAGAAATGAATATTGGGAGATTATAAGCATTTGTGTATGATGTATAGCATAAAATCTCATGTAGCCTAATATATCTTCTTCATTGTAAAGTTTCTTGCTTGCAATATTTTTTCATTATTGTCTGATGTTCTGATTTCATACATATATCTTTCTCCTTCCCTAAATTTTGCTCCTTTCAGAGGAAAAAATATAGTATTCATCATATACCTAACAACCTGGTACAATGTTTTGACTGTAGTAAAGAAGGCTTAGGTTATAGGTATTTCATTTGAAAAGAGGATCAGGAAGCACCAGTGAGAATGTGGAAAAGAGACAGGAGGAGAGAAAATGATAAAAAATATATTAATGGACAAGTTACCAAAGTGGGTAACTAGGTATCCATCCCACAAGGAAGGCCATGAAGAACTCTCTGGAATATTCCTTAGGATTGTCCCTTCAAGGAAGAGAAGCTGGAGGATTCACCCACTAATTTCTAAAATTCATGGTTGAGGGTTGTCATTAAATCTTCACTTCTTCTAGGGTTCCTTTTGTGCAAAAAGTGAGCCAGATCACACAGTACCAGGGCAAGTCTTTAACTGGAGAAGTTGAGACATTCATTGAGTTGAAAAGCTAAAAGTGTGTCAGAACTGTCCCCACTGGATGCATGTCAGCTCAGAACTGCCCTAAGAAGAAACAAACCAGAGCATTCAGCAGTGTCTACTTCAGGAAGTATTTTATTCGCAAGATAGGAGAAAAGCCAAACTAGAATTAGAAAGGAGAGAGAGGACATTTTACTATTACCCTGCTTAAAGAAACAATAAGCTATTGCACAAGGCAAATTCTTTTTTAAACATATAAGAACCTGGGAGAGAAAATCAGATACACATGATATACTTGCACACATGTATGCACATGAATACACATATGCACATACATATCAGAAATTATGAGAAAGTCAAGTGATTTCTGAAGAATGGCATTTGTACCTAACTTCTCACTGATGGTTTGATTGTGTTTTCTTCCTGCAGCTACCTGCTCCCTGATGATAACAAAGCCACCAAGCACAAAACTGTGGTCATAAAAAAGAGTGTTAATCCTCAGTGGAACCATACCTTTTTGTTTAGTGGGCTGTATCCCCAAGATATAAACAATGTTTGTCTTGAGCTTACCATCTGGGACAAGGAGGCCTTTTCCAGCAACATCTTTCTAGGAGGAGTTCGTTTGAATTGTGGAAGTGGTAAGAAACTTGGAGACTCTGAGATGGCCTGTAACTGGGCATGGGGCAAGGACATGATTCCTTCAGTAGATGTTTATGTAGTTTCTATTATAACTGATTCCTGAAATTATCACAGACACTCCATTCCCTTAGCTAAAGATTTGTTCACTGTTAAAATATAAATATTACTACTATAACTTGGTATTTTTAAGCTAGAAACTTAAGAAGTATAATGTTTCTATTTAGTTCTTTTACCCCATCCCTCAAAAACTATACTTTAGTCTAAATAAATTTCAGGGACTTTCTTTGGCCTTCAGGTTTTTTCAGAATAGGATCACCAAGATAGCATAGGTTTCTGATAGGGAAAGACAGTTTTTCAAGACCAGTTTTACCTAATTCTCTTCATGGTTTTGTTCAGCCCTGATAGTCATTATTCACACTGAATTGAGGGAATCAATTTTTTCTTTAAAAAATCACACCTAATGTTTTTCACACAAGTCATGAAAACACACCATCATAGTAAAAGGCACAGGTATAACAGGGTAAATGCAGGGTGCGGTATTTGAGCACAAGAGAACTAGGAGAGGCATATGAGTCCCCAGAACTACTTGTCTCATAGCTTAGGCCAAACATAGATGGTGTGCATGCAACATGGTTAGCATTTATGTTGAGAAAGTCACCACTACGGTGATGCTTTATTTATAGACTAAGGAAAGCTAAGAATATCTATGCCACTAAAACTAAAATTTCCCAGGCCAGAAAACTGACCATATTTAGAAATCCTCAGTTGCAGTGTCACCCTGTTTTTCTTTCATATTATCTTGATCCAGATGACCAGCTCTCTGTTGTACTACCAAAGTGGAGAGGAATTAGCTACTAATTTGCCTTACATTTTCAACGCAGAAAAAATGTAGTACGGGCTGAAAAGGAATTATTCCATTCTAATATCACTTAGTAGATACAAGAAGTGAGAACAAGCCAGTGAAGGGAAGTCTGGTTAACAGATCCCCTCAAAAATTGACAGATGCCTTCCAAAAAGTCAAAACACCTCATTTGTGAAATGTATCACTCTGCTTTCCCTTCTTCAGGTGTGAGTCTTGGAAAAAACGTAGATTGGATGGACTCTCAGGGGGAAGAGCAACGGCTTTGGCAGAAGATGACTGAAAACCCTGGAACTCCCATAGAGGGAGTACTTATGCTCCGGTCCAGCATGGGGAAGTGTAGGCTCTGAAGAGACCAGTTCGTTAGGCATGAGACCTCTAGGAATTGTCTGCCTGCCATTATGAGACTTTGGATTCTGTTTCCCTGTCATTTGTCGCCTGGGGGGATTGGGATTTCAGGGGCAACATAATAATGGTATGAACATTTAGGGTCATCTTGCTGAATTCCTAAAAACACTATGTACTTTTACTTTTTTAGTGTGATGGTAAGATGACTTCAAGTTTGAGTCCAGCTTGAGAAAATTAGTGACTTAGCAAGGCTCTATCTCAAAAAATAAAAAAAAAAAAAGACTGGATAAGTTTTTCTGTGCACAGGTCCTGACTTCAATCCTCAGTACCCTCCACCAAACAAAAGAGTACTTATCTGTTTCTGTGATCTAAGGCCTCCTTGACTGGACAGTTCTGTCAAAAGCAAAATTGTGCAATGAATCACAGGGTTTATATCATCACAGAAATAGCACAAGCTTGTTTGAAACTATGGTCAACATTGAGGGTTATCCAAACATTTTCTAACTGAGTTTCTTTATATGTTCTCAAACAGTTTGACAAAAAAGATTACCAAGAAGTAGAAATCCCTGTAATTCAAAGAAGGCATGATAAGGATGGTTGTTAGGGTGACAGGCTGGGCCTGTTATGGTAGTGAACTTGGGAATTGACCAAGTAATGTTCCAAATAGATCAACATGGCTTCTTATTAGTAACTGTATAATTTATTATGTAAATGAGGCTACTTTGGGAGTGAAAGATGCTAAATAATTACATCTGGACAATGATGTAAACTAGTAAAATGATCTGGGGAATTGGGATGTAGGATCATTCTTCTGAGAGAACTCTGTTGAAAACACTTATTTTATAAAATAGTTTAAGCCATTAACTATAAAATAATAAGAAATAATGGTCAACATATTGCTCATTGAAGAGAACAGCTAAAATTAAAAGGAGGTACTCTACATGCTGTTTCATTCTTCGTCTCTGTTGGCTCTCCTACCCTTTCATCTTCTCTTTCCCTGAGTTCTTGTTGCCTTCTTTTTGTAACCATTAGCTATTGCCATAATAATGCTGAATAAAAACCACTCCAATGTTGTGACTTAAAATGACAATCTTTTGTTTCATGGTTCTGAAGGTTGGGGAGGGCAACTTTGCTTCCTGCTATAGACCAGAAGATCTAGGTCAGGTGCTCATGTCTCATCAACCTCTTTGGGGCAAAGGAATTGCCAGAGAGTGGCAATAGCTGTAGTTAGAGTCCCTAATTTTGTCAAGGCCCATTGGTGGAAAGAAATCCATAGGTTCAAACCCAAAATCAAGAAGCAAACAAATCAAAGTCATGCCAAGAGAATAAATATTGAAAGCCACAACAGGAGCGAGAGTAAAGAATTGGGTGGCTATCCCCATTTCTATTCAACATAGTACTCAAAATATTAGCCAGAAAATGCATGGAAAGAAAAGACAAAAGATACATACAGGAAGGAAGAACTCAAATTATAATTAATTTAAGATGACGTGATACTCTACATAGAGGGCCCAAAAATTCTTCCCAAAAGCTCTTGGAATTAATAATGAACTTAAACAGTATAGCAGGATAAAAAAATCAACATGCAAAACTCAATAGCATTTGTGTACACTAATAGTGAACTAATGAGAAGTAAATTATTTTAACAAATATCATTCATGGTAGTGTCAAGAAAAATGAAATATCTAGGTGTTAATCTAACCAAGGAATCAAAAGACCTATACAAAGACAACTATAGTGCTCTGAAAAGGGAGATTAAAAAGGACTTCAGAAAACAAGTAGATGTCCCATGCTCCTTGGTAGACAGAATCAATATAGTCAAAATGGCTATACTCACAAAAGTGTTATACAGATTCAGTGTAATCTCAATCAAATGCCAACAGCATTCATCATAGGACCAAGGAAAATAATGCTAAGCTTCATATAGAATCAAGGGTAGAACCAGAAAAAGCAATATTTGGCAACAAGCAAGAACAAAGGAGGAGACATCACATTATCTAACCTCAGGCTATGCTACAAACCAACAGTAATAAAAATGGTACTGGAATAAAAACGGACATGTGGATCAGTGAAACATGATAGAGAATAGAGAAACATCTCCAGACACATTTAGCTTTTTGATGTTTCATAAAGGTGTCAAAGGCATACATTGGAGGAAAGATTCCCTATTCAACAAATGGTACCAGGAAAACTGGATATCTTGTTTGCAGAAGTTTGAAACTGGACCCATATGTTTCACCATGTACCAAACTAGAATCAAAACGTGTAAAGATCCAAACATTGAAACAGAAACATTGAATCTACTAAAAGATAAAATAAGTAAAACACTAGAAGCCATAGAGGTACAAAAGGATTTCCTAAATAGAACTACAATTGTTCAAGAAATAAGGCCAAGAATCAACACATAAGATTAGATCAAACTAAAAAGCTTCTGTGTAGTAAAGCAGTCAATCAGTAGAGTGGAAACATGACCTATAGAATAGGAATAGATTCTGCCAGCTATTCCTTAGGAAAAGAATTTGCATCTGGAATATACAAAGAACTCAAAAAAATAGAGCACCTAAAATAAAAGATCCAGTCAAGAAATAGGCAACTGACATGAACAGACAATAGAGGAAAAAATAAAAATAGTCAACTAGTATATGAAAAAATGTGTATCTCTGGCCATTAGAGAAATGCAAATGAAAATTGCTAAGATTGCATCTTAAACAAGAAAGAATGCCAATCATCAAGAAATCAAAAAGTAGCAAATTCTGGTGGCAAGGCTGTGGTGAAAAAGCAACTATCATACATTGTTAGTAGGGGTGTAAACTAGTACAACTTTTATAAAAATCAATATAGAGATTCCTTGAAGGACAAAAATTAGAAATTCCATATGACTCAGCTATCTTCCTGCTAGGTATCTTTCCCAAAATACTAAAGAAATCATAGTATGGTGATACATGCATATCAATATTTATAGAGCATAATTCATATTCTCTAAATCCTGGAAGCAACCTATATACCCATCAACAGACTGGATAAAGAAAATGTGGTATCTATACATAATAGAATACTACTGGGCTATAAAGAATGACAAATGTAAGACATTTGTAGGAAAATGAATATACCTGGAAAATATAATGTTGAGTGGAATAAGTCAGGCACACAAGCTTAAACAGCATTTGACAGCTCTCATTTGAATAAGGCAAAGTATAAACAAAGAACAGAGTAAAGAACACACAGAAGAGAAAAATGGACAAATGTCTTGCAAATGGGAAGACATCCAAAAGAACATGGATGAAAGGAGAGGAGGAGGGGAAAGGAAAATAAGTGGAATAAAGATATGCCATATACAAGAACCTAACAGCCTCAATGAATGTAAACACCATATGTCATAAACATGGGATAAGATTATTAATATGAGAACAAAAATGGAGAAGGGGACTTAGAAGAGGGAGCAAGGTGGTAGGGAAGGAAAAGAGGATTTTAAAAAAGAGAAAGAACCAAGCTGTATTATTTACATGTACCCATTCACCCAGATGAATGTACTGTGTGTGCTGCAAACATGTACTAATAAAAAATTTTTAGATTAGATAGATTTTAATAATACAATTAATTAATTAATTAATACTATCTCAGTTCCCATTAGCCTTGATTCTGCCTCTCTGTATAGAAACACATATAAGAGAAAATGAAAGCATTTGTTAGGAGTAAAGATAATCCAAACAATCACACTGATTAGGCTCCAAGAAAAGCAAAGAAATATCCATATTAAAATGAAAAAAACAAAAAGAATTAGGCCAGTAGTTGAGTCGACTTTGTCTTCTGTCACCTGAAATTCAAGATGCTTCAGCCAATCGCCTTAGATGCAAAGGCATTCAAAGGTAGAAGGAACCTCAGGACCGGTTCCTTTTTTTTTATAGGTCCCAAATCTGAAGCACAGAGAGTTGAGATGACTTACCTAAATTGTGCAGAGGGTATGACCGAATTTAGACTTAAACCGTAGGTCATTGTTCTTTCTCTGCATTTCTTGACAGAATTTTGTGTTTATCAAGGTGGGAAGAAGGGCATAGGAAGGTAGATCACAGTCTGATGTTTTGAGCAAAAATATACATGCCCAGTGTATGCTCTGTAGTCAGAGTCTGCCCATTTTATCAGTTGAATATATATATATATATATATATATATATATATATATATATATATATATATTCTTTAAAAGCCTAGAAACTGAGTTTTAGTAGTAGGAGAACTAGAATTCTACAATTATCTTCAGTCTTATTCTAGATAGTTTTTACATATTACTAGATTCTTTGAATTTTGGGAAACAGATTGAAGAATATATTTAGTATTATTCTTAGTAAAGAAATAAACAATATATTATTCAAACAGGCTTATTCCAGAAAACTGGAGTTATTAGTCCACTGTAGCTTGGTATGTACAGTACTTTATTTTGCCAACGTAAAAAGTGAATCAAAAAGTATATGACCTAATGAATGTGATTGTGCATGCTTGTAATCCCAGCTCTCAGAGGCTGAGGCAGGAGGATCTCACGTTCAGGCCCAGTCTGGGTAATTTAGCAAATAGTGAGCTCCTGTTTGAAAACAAAATATGAAAGAGGCTGGGGAAAATAGCTTAGTGTGAAGCCTCAGATTCAATATCTAGTAATACACACACAAAAGGAAAAAAAAGTGCATATTTACTACTTTCCTTACAGGAAAATAAATTATCTCCAGATTTGATGTGACTCATTCTGCCTTCAGTGATGTTTTGCAGAAGTGAGAGGGTAGTAGTAGTGAAGTCTGAAGACATCTCTGAAGTAGACTCAACAAAGTAAATTGCTTCACTAACAATAAATATGGAAAAGTAACTCCAGAATTTATAACTTGAACTCAAGAAGAGCATGAACCTTCAGTGTTCAGATCTTTGTTACATTTAGAGCTATACTCTGTATCATGGTTTCATAATATCCAATATCTAATGGGGTATTTCTGTAAGGCAAAACCCAGAGATACAAAAATCTGTCTGAAACCTGTAGGTATTATTCTTGGAAATAAAAGACAAATTGATCTTTATGTTGCTTTTTTTCTAAGTTGAGGTACAAAATAGGAGTTTAAAATATAGATAATACTTGGGAATGGTACACAATTCAAATAGTTCAACATTCTGAAACAGCAATTCCTCCTCTCCTTCCACATAAAAATATATTACACTTTCATTCATTGTTACAACTATAGGGTATCACATTATAGGAATATAGCAAATTTATTTAACCAGTCCTATCAAATGGCACATTAAATATGTTTCACAGACTCTCTAAGCAATATTTTCTCTTGAAAATAAACACTTTGATACTCAAAATTGATGTATATATCTTACCCAGCTACTCAACTTCTGGGCATTTTATTCTACAGAGATAGGCTCATCTGTGAGAATTTAGTATATATAAAGATATTTATTGCTAAAGTTAAACAAAATAAATCTTCTGTATTATCACATATTCTTGACTTTTTGTGTTTAACTCATTATCTCTTCTGTCTGTTCATTCTCCATGCAATCATTAAAGACTGGCACTGTTTTAATTTCCTCTTTGTGTCACGCAGCCTCCTAGACACTGACATACCATAATGCATGGTTTTATACCCTTAGAACCTCAGGCTCCCTGCTCCAATTCAAAGCATTCTTCTCAGCTCTACACTCTGTAAAATCTTATTACACAAATCAGAGTCATTCCTGCCACCACACTCAACTAAACATCTGAAAAATCATGAGAGAAATACAAATGATCACTTTAGAGGCTTTCTTGCAGGCACAATTCAATGAAATGACTACTGTGACTAGAAGATAAATTTTACCCAGTAACAGCCACCATTCAGTAATCAGAGCACGGTAGCTTACAAAAACATTTCCAGAATCTATAAACATGCTTCCAAAATGACTTTTGTAATGTCTTCTTTCCCCAACAAAACTCTCATTTTCCCAGTTGTTCTCTAGCTGTCTGTGTCCTCTAGTTGCAATACTATCTCTTTTTTTCATCCCCAAAGAAACCCTGTTGCTTAGGGATTTAGTCTGTATAAGGTATAATTTCAATATATGGTAAAT